TCGTGGTTTCCCTCTCCATGAATAACAATTGCGGGTTAATTCCATCAAAAAGTCCTTCACGTAGGCAAAATTTTCCTCAATACTTGATTTAGGAGTTCTCTTGTTTTCTGCATTGGATTTAAAATTACAAGACCACGGAGTTCTACTTCGGCAGTTGTAAACTCGAAATTGGGTTAGCTGTTCAAATACGGTTATACGGTTAAATACGGTTTAAAAAAACGAAAAAAAACTTCAAGAGGAAAATACGAATGCAATCCACAAACAGCAAAATCAAATATTATTCAGAATTTATTTCATTAATATTTTTTTTTATTTTGCTACTATAGGGAAACGTGAAAATACAGTCTTTTATTGTACCAGAAGAATTGTTTAATACGAAAAATTTTGCTACCTTCTTTATTTTTCTTTGGAACCATAGAAATTTACTCGATCTCGTTTCACTTTTAATGATCAAAATCGCAATAATAAGATTTCTTTGTATCCGAGCCCTTCCGGTTCCGAGACTTAATATACATATGAAAAATGCTGAATCTCGTTATAAAGCCGAAATTTGCGAGGAGAAAAATCAAATTAAAAGCACAAATAAGATTTTTTTTTATTTACAGGTCAAAAGATTTAATAATACTTAATTTTTGACACTATAATATTTAGTTATTTATTATTATTTTATTTTAAAACCGGCGTTGAAAATCCTGCCCAACTAACCCGCATTCGCTTTACTTGAAGAGGAAAACCTCCACGGTTAGCCCGGCGATAAAGGGACTCTAACCCATAATCCATCAACCACTGAGGACCTTTTACGTCAGCACTGTGGTCGGTGTGAGCTGGGTGCGGAATTTGTATCTACCAAACATCGTTGGGATTCGAACCCGGTTCACATCATTGGCAGGCGAACGCTCTATCCCCTGGGCCACTACGGTTCTATTACTATTACTGTAATTAATAATTGAGCAAACAGATACTGGTACATTTGTTCAGCTAGAACAGTGGTTCCCAACCTTTTGTGGACCATCGCCCCCCTCTTGGGGTTGGCTGACACATATCGCCCCTTTCTCTTTTTGCTCAAGAAACCATTCATTGTTGCTTGTGAGCAACCGAACACTGAAAATATGCTATGTTATTTGATTTTAATTTAAATTGTAANGGTTTTAAATTATTCATGATACGGTCATTTCAATGACTATCTCATGTCTTCGTGACTATGATGTCAACAATGATTCAATTCTTTATAAACAGTTTCTTTTCGATGAAAAAAGCTTGGATAAAATTTTGACATTGTTTTGAAACATTAACAGTAAAATGACATAAAACTGAAATTAAAATTTTACAATGTCAGCTTTGATTATAAAACATGATTGGCTAAAAACGAAAACATAACCCAAAAAATCTTCAATTTTTAAAAAAAATATTTTTGTACGTATGTGATGTATTTTAATTTAAGATCAATCATTTAAATTAATGATCTCATTAGTGATTTTGTGTTAATTTGCACAAAAGTTAGAGTTTTATTCGTTAGAGTCTTAAAGTTTGTCTCGATTTTCTTGTTTTATTTTATTCCTTTTCTTTTAGATTTTTATTAATTTTACGGAAACATTTCGCATTGGCTTTATTTGATGATTTAAAAGAGTGGTAAAAAATATTTAGTTGAAATAATCATTGCAAAATTTTCTTTTTTTATGAGGCCTAGTGCATCAAAAAGCAAAATTTTGCAGGAAGAAAAAAAAACTCCTATTAAATAAGTTTTTTTCCTCCCGTTAACTGCTACCAAATTTAAATAAAAACTGTTCGTAGTTTCGATTTATATTCCTGTTAAATGCCAGTTGCAAAAAAAAGTTAAGACTTTTTGTTGTCATTAAGTCGTTTTTTTTTTTTTTTTTTTTTTTTTTTTTTTTTTTTTTAAAGAAAAACCTTTTTATTGTTATATATCTGTATGCAATTTTGTAGAATTTATTAAACGAAATTTCTTTAAAATGTGTACAGCGTATGCAAGATTAACACCCACCTACTGTTACATCCGCTTAAAGTAGTACCGCTCTTTTTATTTTATTTTATAACCGTCGTTGAACAGCCGACCCAATTTTGAGTTTATGACACTAATGTTCAACTCCGTAGCCTCGTAATTTAAAACCCAATCCAGAAGACAAGGAAACTCCTGGATCAGTACCCCCAGAGGTATTGATCTGCTATGGGACTTTGCGACTCGACAGATTTAACGTGCATCAGTCACCATTTACGACACGGGGAGTCTTCGGCCGGCGGGGATCGAACCCACGAACTCTAGGACATGGGTCCAGTGCCCTACCAACCAGGCTACTATTACCGCTCAAGACGGGATTGACAACAACCGAATGGAATCATATCGTCTTCAGTGATGAATCCAAGCTTGATTTTAGGCAATGGAGGCCCAGTAATGAACGCGTTAATCCTTCCTGCGCACCACTTCTACAGCTAGTGTAATGGTATGGGGTGCCATAGCATACGACACACGATCATCCCTAATATTGGTCCATGGCGTCATAAGCCCAGTAGAACATGATATTCTTCAGCCACATACGTTGCCACTCATGGAAGGGCTCCCAAAAGCCATTTTCACCCAGCAATGCTCGGCACCACCCAGCAAGGGTATAATGGGGATGCATTCGCTACAATACCACCCTTCACTGGCCTGCTTGATCCCCAGATTTGTCACTGAACGAGCATATTTTCGATAATTTGATCCGAGTTTAGCCTGCATTCCAGCAAGAGGTGGCCGAAGAAAGAAGGTACTAAAAACTTGATTCATTTATATTTTTTCCTGAAATAAATATTTTTCCTTTCATTTTTTAATAACTTGCTTATTTCAACGTTACACTTACGTATGTGAAATTTCATTTCCTTCTGACAATTCTTTCTAGGTGCGTTAATTATTACGGCAATGAGTAGGTCTAAGAATAAGACAGGTAGTAGTATCATCTAATTACATTTTAATATTTTTTTTTGCTATAATTTATACTTCAGTCGCAAAAATAAAAAATACAAAAAAGATTTTTCAAGGATTTGTTATATTGCTTTTATATAGGGGAAAGTTGAACAAAACGGGATACCATTATTGTTTTTATTTACTAGGGAAAATCTGTTAAAGAGAACGACACTTTATTTTTTTTTATAGCTACATTACTTATTGAAGCTCAGAAAAAAACATATTTTAAACTAATTTTAATGACTGTGAAATAGGAAAAAAAATCATTTTCCAAACTCTTACATATCCCGTTTTAGCATACCTGGGTCGGACAAAGCGGGATAGGGTTTTCAATGTTTAATTTTTTGCGTAAAACTAACTAAAAACATAATTAATTGACAGAAAACTGTAAAACAAAATTTCTAAAAATTTTATTTATGGGATTTTACTGCTTCTAACATTTTTATATAAACTGTTGTTTTATAATTAAGTACACAAAAATAATGATGCTACATAAGTTTTTAAAGATTTTATGAGTTTTCAACCATGAACACTTATTCCATCATTTTTACTGTCATCATTTGGAATATCATTTGGAGTAATCCTATGTTTACTTAACAGAGAATTCAAAAGTTCAAAAAACTTTTTAACTGCAGTGCGATTAAACCCTTTTTCTCGGATCACACCCGTGGGTTCTGGTTTTTGGAGGCTAAGTTCTTCATGCCTACCAAGAAATAATTGCAACCAACACTTCCCAGCCATTTTTTCCCTGTGTTAAAATTATGCTTAATATTGTTTCTCTCAGCTAACTCAAATGCTAGCATTCGTATGTCCGTTAGAGTTATACCAAATAATCTCTCTTCTAGAGCCAATACATGCTCACGCGTTTTTTCTTGTTCAGCATTGAATACTTTGATATTGTCTCTTATATGTCCAACTTTTTCACTGCTGCCAATCCAGGGGTCAATGTATTTGTACGAGCCTTTTTTACCTTTCTTTCAATATAGTAATAATAATATAGTAAAAGTATTAGGCCAACAAATAAATAGGTGGATAAAACGGGATATAAAAAAACTCTATCCCGTTTTATCCAACTCATAAGTATCCCGTTTTGTCAGACTCAGACACTTTTCAAAACAAACATGGCTGCTGCCTAAACGTGAAAGAAAAATTAGATTGACTAGACATGAGAATACTCGTTAATAAATGCTTCATCAAATGTAATACTCACCGGAATTGTAATCCTATATATATAGGCAGTACAATGTGAAAAACAACGCACGTAAATGTAGAAAGTGGCAAAAAAAAAATGGAGTAAAAAAGTTCTGAGACCTACAACTTTCTATCAACTAGTGATCTCGAGACTGTACGCACTAAAAATCATTTCTTTATCAAAATGAAACTTAAAATTAAAATTTAACTGGAATTCAACTAAGTTAGCCTTTATATTAAGTTAATCTTTATTAATATTAGCTTATATTAATTATAGGGTGAAAAAGACATAGGCAAAATTTAATTAAAATTGTGTGCAGAATTTTTTTAAAGAATAATGGCCACAACCCAGAATAATTTAAATAAGCGTTAGTAAGCGATAGTTCACTTTCAATTAACGTCCTAGCGGGGAAAAAAAGAAAAACAAAAAAAGAAAGAAAAAGAAGAAAGAGTGCCATAAATAGCAAACGGAATATTCTTACAGGATTATGATAATGTATTTTTGTTTCTTAATCTAACATTTTTGAGAGAATTTTTCTCTTACTCACTCAATTAAGAAAAAAGAAAGAAAAAAATTGTTTTTGCGATACCATCAGATTTTTACAAGTTTAACTTAATCAATTTTATTTCACACGGTTTTTTTTATTCAATAAAAAAATATATCTATCAACGACCACAGATCACAAATAAAGAAGGGAATAGAAAAGAAAAAAAATGCATTCATCATGCGTTTTAACTACAAATAGCTTGTCCTAAATGCCGCATGGCTCGTGACGTCATGCTCCATGCACAGCTGACGTCATTTAGAACAGAGAGTGAGTCATCGGGTTGTTGACGCAAAGGACCGGTGCTAACGTAAAGAAACATTCACAACTCAGATATCGGATCCTGCGCAGATCGCGGAGAGAGAGAGCTTGCAGGAAATTAACTTCCATACTCTTTTATTTTAAAATTAAAGAACTTTTCTAAGAAAAGTGGATTACTGTGAGTGTTCCATAAAACGAAGACCTCATTTAAACAGGTTAGTTTTATTTTTTCTTCTTAGTTTTTATTAATTCTAGTCATGAATGTTTACGTACAAATAAATGTAAAAGGAGATGAACAATTTTTCGTTCTCGATTTTTTGAATGACGTAATCCATTTAACGGAGTTCTCCATATATAATTTGATAATGAATGATGCCTATGCGTGATGGGAATAAGAAATTTAGCACATATGTTTACATTGGTAGCAATTTTTTCTGATACTGTTAATTTTTGAAAAGATAAAAATTTTGTAAATTAAACAAATTTAAATATTTGCTGTGATATTGTGCATATTACCGTAAATGTTCTCAGTAAAAAAAAATTTATTCGTTTGTTTATATATATATTTTTTTCTTTCCTTTTTACTTTAACACATAAGATTAAGGCAGAAAATGTTTTGCAAAAATTATGCAAAATCCTGTTGAATTTCAAAATAATAAAAACTATCTGTGTTTTTCATTTAAGTTGTAGAACTTGACTTATCCTAAATGAAATAAATGTTTTATTTTTTCTCTAAAATATACAAAATATTAATAAAGCTGAAATACTGCGCATGGGTTGGTTCGATTCACTTGTTTACTTTTTGAAATCTGTATATTTCATGTATAAGGTTTCTGTAAAAATATGTATACATAGTTTTATGTTTGCAAAATCGTTTTCTAGGGAAAATTTGCTGGCAATATTTTAGATACAATTCGAAAAATAATGAAACGAAATATTTAATTTACTAGATTTTAGGTAAACCAGATTTATTGTTAATATTGCTATCAATTAGTCATGTTATTCATTAATTGCTTCATAATTAAAAATTATAATTAAGATAATCACATAAGGTAAAAAGTGGTTATATACTTACATTTAAGTTGAGCGAATTTTTTTTTCCCCGTTAGCAACCACTTTCTATATTAAAAAACTTAGCATAGGTCTATTTAATTTCTAACTTGTTTGAAGGAGATGTATTTAATTTTTTTATCACAATATATTTTGGTTAATACAAATGTATCCCTATATATTCATAAATTTGAAAATTAAAATTTCTTTCTATCTATTTACCTTTTCGAAAAAAATTTACCTATCCGACAAGGACAAGCCTCGGCTCTAAGAAATTTAAATGTAATATTCTTTTTTCAACGTAGGAGGGTGTAATTTATTTTCGTAACATCTCATGTTTACTAAGCATTAAAAAAGAAAAAAAAACAACAATGGAATTAAAAGTGACATTTGTTTACTTTTCGTGTAACAAAATCCCTTTTTTTTATCACTTTTGAAATGTTTCATTATTTGTAAAACTTCTTGATTTTTTTCTAAATATATATATTTACATTTCAATAAAATTTTATTTTTAAGATAAGAAACAAACTTACAAGAAATTTAACAATCTGAAAAATCTAATTTTCCAGAAAAAGAAGAAAAAATTTTTTTAAAAAAACTAGCACTGAAACCATTTAATTTCTAGCTTATTTCGAGAGGGTGTTGTAAAATATTTGTGACCACCACAAACAATTGAAAATTAAGTCATATTTTCTTTACTTGTAATAGATTTTATAAGTAGATATATAAGTTATAATATTATGAAAGCAGCTGTGCACAATTTACTTTTCCGAAAAAAAAATAAAAAATTGAACTAGTTTTTTATTTCTGTTCTTCGAATAAGTAGGTTTATTTGTAATATAAGCTATTATTATTCAAAAAAAAAAAAAAAAAATACAGTGCGTAAAGAATAAACAAACCCCCCCTGTATAACTTTTCCCGAAAAAAAAGAAAGAAAAAACTGATTTTCAAACACAACTTTTTTGAAATTCGATTCCGCTCAAATTTTTTATTTTGTAATGTAAAATTACATTCTTTAAAATAACGTAACTTTTTTTTAACTTACAATTAAAAAAGTTTTGCGACTATTATTAAATAAAATTTTTAAAAAGTAATAAATATATCTACTAAAAGTTATTTTTGCATGAAATAATGTTTAAATAAATGTTTTTTATGATTTGTGCAAAAATTTTGCGATTTACAAAAAAAAGTTTTTGAGGTATGGTGAAATACGCAAAAAATAAAATTAACAATAAAAGATCCAAACATTAGACCGCTCTCTTGACGTAACTATTTGGACTATATTTTCCAAAAAGCAGCTTCTCCCTATATTTTGAGAAGAAATCTAAATCAGTCGAAAAAAAGGTATGTTTAATTTAAGAAAGTACGTTTTTTTGTCCGATTTTGTAACTTAAAATAGGGTCTGCACTAATTAATTAACATATTTGAGGTCACTCTTTTGAATCATAAAGTTTGAGTTCTGGAACGTAAATATCCAATCATTAGATGAAAAGTTATTCAGGGTGGTCCGTTTTTTTTTTTTTTTTTTTTTTTCGCGCTTTGTGCATACTCTAAGATATTTTACTTTTGCTCTATTTTATTCTAATACGATTAAAACTTCACGAAGTCGGAAATTTTAATTTTAGTTAGAAAATTTAGTTAAGATATTTAGCGCTCCACTGAGGTGATTTTCTTTATCTTTGTATTTTTGCAAAATATGAAATAGTTGATTAATTATTATTACATTATAATTGCACATACAAATACAGGATTGTGTGCTGCTTTTTACAAGTGGGCATATATGACCTTGACAAATTAGAGAAGAACATCACAAATACATCCAGGGTTAGAGTGGGATTCAAACCCTCTACCAAGTGCAAACCGTTAAGCCCCGTTCGACATGGGAGACTTAGATTAATAACTGTGTAGTTTAGAGGTAAAAATGAGTGCAATTTTAATTGTTTATATAATTGACTAAAATTACTGGAACAGTTTTTATCCTACCGCTATTTACCGACTATGCTGAAAAGATTAAAAAGAAACAATTAAGGTATACATACATAATAGAATTTATTTGTCCGTGAGTAATTATCGTTTCTGATTGCTCCAGTACAAGCTCTTTGGCTTCCTAGCTGTTTCCATTTTATCCCAAACAATTAAATGCTTCCAAATAAAAATTTAGTCTTATTTACTCCAGTTTGTTTTGAGACCTGCTCTTTTCACGCAGTTGTGCTAGGCTAGATTAGCGGTTCCCAAAAGCGAGCCCTATGATTCCGCTGAGCACTTTTTGGAGGAAAAACAAGTGATTTTTTAATGGTTTATATAAATGACTCAAATGACTGGAACCAACAGAGTACACCGCTATTTACAGAGTATCCTAAAAGAGTTTTAAAAAAAATAGAAAAAATGAGTCGAAAATTGCATCGATTAATTTTTTAGTCATCGATTCTTTATACATACATATTTTATTTTATTTTATGACCGCCGTTGAACAGTCGACCCAATTTTTGGGTTTACGACTACAAATGTTCAACGCCGTAGCCTTGTAATTTTGAACCAATCCAGAAGACAAGGAAACTTCTGTATCGGTACCCCCAGAGGTATTGATTTGTTATACATACATATTAGAATTTTTTATCCTTTTTGATTGCTCTAGTCCGCTTAAATAGATCTACTCTTTGGCTTGCTAGCTTTTCCCATTTTACCTCAAGACATTTACTGCATCAAAGTAAAAATTTTATTCAGGTTCTATTCACGCAACTCCGAAGTCACTAAAAATATTCCGTGACGTCATGCTCCATGCACAGCTGACGTCATTTAGAACAGAGAGTGAGTCATAATGTTTGTANATAATTTGATAATGAATGATGTCTATGTGTGATGGGAATATAAAATTTTGCACATATGTTTACATTGGTAGCAATTTTTTCTAATAATGTCAATTTTTGATAAGACAAAAATTTTGCAAATTAAACAATTTTAAATATTTGCTGTGATATTGTGTAATTACCGTAAATGTTCTCAGTAAAAAAAGTTTTTCGTTTGTTTATATATTTTTTTTTCCTTTTTAATTTAACACATAAGATTACGGTAGAAAATGTTTTGCAAAAATTATGCAAAATTTTGTTGAATTTCAAAATAATGAAAATTATCTATGTTTTGCATTTTAAGTTGTGGAACTTGATTTATCCTAAATGAAATAAATGTTTTATTTTTTCCCTAAAATATACAAAATATTAATAAAACTGAAATACTGCTCATGGGTTGGTTCGATTCAGTTGTTTACTTTTTGAAATCTGTATATTTCATGTATAAGGTTTCTGTAAAAATATGTATACATAGTTTTATATTTGCAAAATCGTTTTCTAGGGAAAATTTGCTGGCAATATTTTAGATACAATTCGGAAAATAATGAAATGAAATATTTAATTTACTAGATTTTAGATAAACATGATTTATTGTTAATATAGCTATTAATTAGTCATGTTATTCATTAATTGCTTCACAATTAAAAATTACAATTATGATAATCGCATAAGGTAAAAAGTGGTTATATGATTACATTTAAATTGAACAAATTTTTTTTTTCCTTTAGCAACCACTCTCTATATTAAAAAGCTTAGAATAGGTCCATTTAATTTCTAACTTGTTTGAAGAAGATGTATTTAATTTTTTTATCACAATATATATTGGTTAATACAAATGTATCCCTATATACTCATAAATTTGAAAATTAAAATTTCTTTCTATCTATTTACCTTTTCGAAAAAAAATTATCTATCCGACAAGGACAACTCTCGACCCTAAAAAAATTTACGTTATTTTTTTCAACGTATGATGGTGTAGTTTATTTTCGCAACTTCTCGTGTTTACTAAACATTGAAAAAGAAGAAGAAAAAAAAAACAATTACATTAAAAGTGACATTTGTTTACTTTACGTGCAATATCCTAAGAATGTAGGGGGGGGGGGGGGANGGGGGTACTGGAGAGAACGGCGTATATGTAACAAACTGGATATGTAACAAAATCCCTTTTTTTTTTATCACTTATGAAATTTTTTATTATTTGTAAAACTTCTTGATTTTTTTTCTAATTACATGTATGTTTATATTTCAATAAAATTTTATTTTCATGATAAGAAACAAACTTACAAGAAATATAACAATCTAAACAATCTAATTTTCCAGGAAATGGAAGGAAAAAAAAAAAACTAGCACTAAAACCATTTAATTTCTAGCTTATTTCAAGAGGGTGTTGTAAAATATTTGTGACCACCACAAACAATTGAAAATTAAGTCATATTTTTTTACTTGTAATAGATTTTATAAGTAGATATATAAGTTATAAGATTATAAAAGCAGTTGTGTACAATTTACTTTTCCGGAAAATAAAAAAATATTAAACTAATTTTTTTTCTGTTTTTCGAAAAAGTAGGTTTAATTGTAATATATGCTATTACTGTTCGGGAAAAAAAAAGGTAAAGTGCATAAAAAATAAACAGACCCCCAGAATAACTTTTCCTGAAAAAAAAATTTTTTTTTTGAGGCACAACTTTGAAATTTGATTACACTCAAATTTTGTATTTTACCATGTAAAATTACATTCTTTAAAATAACTTAAAAATTTTTTAACTTACTATTAAAAAATTTATGCGATTATTATTAAATAAAAATTTTAAAAAAATAATAAAAATTTTTAAAAAAATAATAAATATCTACTAAAAGTTATTTTTGCATGAAATAATCTTTAAATAAATGAATTTTATGATTTGTGTAAAAACTTTGCAGATTGCATAAAAAGTTTTTGAGGTATGGTGAAATACGCAAAAAATGAAATTAATATTAAATGGTCCAAACATTAGACAGCTCTCTTGACCTAATTATTTGGACTATATTTCCCAGGTAGCGGTTTCCCCCTATATTTTGAGAAGAAATCTAAATCAGTCGAAAAAAAGTTTTCGCCTGTTGTTTATTTTAAAAAAGTACGTTCTTGTGTCCGATTTTGTAACTTAAAATAGGATTTGCACTAATTAATTAAAATATGAGGTCACTCTTTTGAACCATAAAGTTTGAGTCCCGGAACGTAAGAATCCAATCATTAGATAAAAAGTTATTCACGTAGTCTATTTATTTATTTAATTTTTTTTTTCTTTCTTTTTTTTGCGCTCTGTACATACTCTAAGAAAATGTCATCTGCTTAATTTTATTCTAATTCGATTAAAACTTCGCAAGGTCAAAAATTTTAATTTTAGTTAGAAAATTTAATTAAGGAATTTTATCGATTCAATGAGGGGACTATCTTTATTTTTGTATTTTTTTAAAATATGAAGTAGTTGGTTTATTTATTATTATATTACAATTGCACATACAAATACGAGATTGTGTACTGCTCTTTACAATTGGGCATATATGATCTTGACAAATTAGAGAAGAACATCACAAATACACCAAGGGTTAGAGTGGGATTCAAACCCTCTACCTCTAAACTCGACATGGGAGACTTAGACATGGAGCTCCGCTCGACATGGGAGACTTAGATTAATAACTGTTTAGTTTAGAGGTAAAAATTAGTGCCATTTTAATTGTTTATATAATTGACTAAAATTACTGGAACAGTTTTTATCCTACCGTTATTTACCGACTATCCTGAAAAGATTAAAAAAAACAATTACGTTATACATACATAATAGAATTTTTTTGTCCATGAGTAATTATCGTTTCTGATTGTTCCAGTACAAGCTCTTTGGCTTCCTAGCTTTTTCCATTTTATCCCAAACCACTAACTGCTTTAAAATAAAAATGTAGTCTTACCTACTCCAGCTTGTTTTGAGACCTGCTCTTTTCACGCAGTTGTGCTAGGTAGGCTAGATTAGTGGTTCCCAAAAGCGAACCCTATCATTCCGCTGAACACTTTTTGGAGGAAAGACAAGTGAATTTTTAATGGTTTATATAAATGACTAAAATGACTGGAACCCACAGAGTACACCACTATTCACAGAGTATCCTAAAAGAGTTTTAAAAAAAATAGAAAAAATGAGTCGAAAATTGCATCGATTATTTTTTTAGTCATCGATTCTTTATACATACATATTAGAATTTTTTATCCTTTTTGATCGCTCTAGTCCGCTTAAATAGATCTACTCTTTGGCTTGCTAGCTTTTCCCATTTTACCTCAAGCCATTTACTGCATCAAAGTAAAAATTTTATTCAGGTTCTATTCACGCAACTCCGAAGTCACTAAAAATATTCCTTCAAAACCAAAAAGAAATTTATTCTTTCTATCTCTCTGTAACTTACAATTGCGTAAAACAACTAACATCATATATTATTGTTTTTATTTAATTTTATTTTAAAAAGTAACAAACTGAGCAATACCTTTTTTTTTTTTCGAATTTGGAATAAGCTTTTCGGAATTAGATTTTTTTTCTTTCCAATTCTTTTTCGAAGCTCTTACTCCACCTGTCTATGTTTTTTGAGGTCATCGTGACTCAACATCTAATTCTTCGTTTCTCTAGCTCATGTTGCTGAAAAAGCATTTTCGAACTTCCTCGCTCATGTTGTAGACTAACTACCAAGCTGGAACTTTTTTTCCCCCTTTCATCTGAAAAGGCCTTGTCTGATGGAATAGTTGGAAGTTTAAGCAAGGACGTTTTGGCAGCAGCGAACTCTGACTCACCAAACGTTGCCAACGGCAGAAAAAAAAACTGAAACGGTGATTTGGGAAGGTCTTATTTCGAATGTTTTATTTTGCATTGTTTTTTTTCCCGATTTCTTTTTCTTTCACTTTTTCTACCTTTCAAGTAATGTGTTTAAGAGAACAGGTAATTCTTGTTTCTGTATGCGAAACAATTTGCGCTTATTTAGAGCGAAATTTTTATTGTTTTCGAAAGCGTTAAGTAAGAGGATAAGATGTGTTTATCAGTTTCCCTCCTCCCCCCTGACACACTCTGTTTTGCATACATATATTTTTTTTTCAATTGGATATGAAGTACATCATCTCAATGTTTGCAACATGTCTTCATAGGCATAATTATTTCAAATATCCCTTCAAACACGGTCAAAATTAGTAAAATTGAAGCTCTTATCTAAGAAAGAAAACATTAAATAATAAAACTATTAATTTATTCCCGACTTCATAATAATCTTAGTTAATGTCCTTATGAGCAAAAAAAATTTTTTTTCGAATAGATTCACTTGATACATTTGGCAATATCGAAAAGAATAAATTTTAAGCTCCTGCATGAGAAAGAGAAAGTAAACATTAACTAATTTAAATATTTATTTATTTTCGACTTCATAGTGTATCTAAGTTAATGCCCTGATCTGCAAACTTTTTTTTCCCTCAAATATTTCTTTTGGTCTATCGAACAGAATAAACTTTAAGCTCCTGCCTGAGATAAAAAAAAAAAGTAAACCATTAATTTATGTTTGACTTCATAATTTAGCATAATTAAAAAATGTCCTTATTTAAATACGGTAATATATATTTAAATTTAGTTTGTTTTAATTTAAATAAATAATAATCCCATGCTTTAAAATCTAAATAAGTATGCAATTTGAAAATAAATATTTTAAAAAATTGAGATTTGATTCACGTGAAATTAAGTAAAATATAATCTGAAATATATTAAGTGAAGAATAACTATTTAATTACAAATTAAACAGTATTTAAATATAAATAATTATTTAAAAGAAGGCGCGATTCGATGAAAAATAAAATCGCTTGATCATTTTATTGAAAAGAAGTAGCATTATTTTTTAAAAGCAAATCGTTTGGTTTTTCTGATTAGTGAGAGAAAAGTAAGAGGCATGGGAGGGGCTGAATTTTGCAGACAGAAGTCAAGATACAGATGGTTCACACGTGGGTACACCGGAAATGAGTTTGCCCACTTCCGCTCTTCCCGGTCTCGCGGCTGATGTGAAAGGAAGGTGGAGGTAAATTAGAAGGAATATCCGTTATCCGTTTTATTGTAAGACGTCTGTTTGAGGGACCCCCTCTACTTGCATATGACAAAGTAGCCTTGACTGTTTTTTGTTGTAAAAATTTAATTCTCTGATACATTATACATGGACATAATTCTCTGTTATATTTTAATCTTGAAGTTTTTTTTTCTCTCCCTACTTTTGGATCATATTAAATTCAATATTTATTGTTGAAATCTAAATTATACAAAATTTTCTAATTCGTCTCATTTTAGCCCTAAATTCTGGCTTTCATCAAGCTGGGAAAATAACAATTTTAATTATTTATTATTTCTAGATATATTCATGCATTCCAATAATAATTATGTCATTATAATCTCCTTGAATAACAAATTAAGAGTGTTTTCGGTCATAAATAAGTATTTTGATACCCACAAAAGCTTTATGATTACATTGTTGTTAGCTAATTATTATTCTTAATAATTTATTTATTTGACAGACATAATGGAACTTTTAAATCACACAAAAATTTAACGATGAGTAACTTTATTAATACCTCATTAAGAAAATTGAAAATTACGGTTTTTCATTTTTAAGGGGAAAAAAAATATAGTTAGAGTTTGTTTTTTAATACGTATTTCAGTAGATTCAGAATATAGTTAAGCTTAACTATTAGGCGAGGTATAATTTATTACCGAATTAAAGAAATTTTTCAGATTTTAAGACTTTTATTTTTAAAATATATTTTAATCAAGTCACTATGCTTTTTTTAATTATTTTGTTTTTACAATATGTTTAGTTATTAAAATAATAAACAAGAATAATATATTATTATTTTATTGAGTAATATTAAATATTAAAATTTTTTTTACAGTTTTTTGCCCTCCGATATGTCTGGAGGTGTTGATGTACAACTTCCCGGAAATACGATACTATCTGATCATCACGGGCGACGAAGACCACAGTTGCTCTACCTGAACTCCAACAGGGGCGCTAACCACCGGCGGCGCCCCGTTAAAAACTCATCCCACCAATCTGAAAATCTGAAGTTGGTCTCCCCGTCCGAGCTGGACACTGCACTCAGACAAGGTGGGGGCGCGATGCCCTTAGTTTTGGATTGCCGACCAACCTTTGCCTACGGTAAAGGGCACGTGTCCGGCGCAGTTTCTTTACGGTGTGCGGACCGTATCAGTCGTCGGAGACTGCAACTTGGACGACTTGGACTATGCGATCTCGTCTCAGATCAAAACGCTAAAGAAAAGTTACAAACTTGTCGGGGCTCCGAGGTTGTGCTATATGACGATGGGACATCTGAAGCTGATCAAGTCACTGATGATCATCCACTTTCACCTGTTATTGCATCCATCAGGGACATGGGAGCAAAACCCGTCCTATTAAGAGGTAAGTCTGTTAAACCATCCTTATGCACTCAGTTTTATTACTATTTTATGAACATTTCTATAACATAAAGTTGGTAAAAATAGTAATACATTTGCGTTTAAATTTCTTCTGTTGATTATCATTGTAGTTAACAGAACCCTTTAGCCCTCTGACACCGGTGTTCGTTTTTTTTATATATATATATTTTTCTGGAGCTCTAACTACAAGCAAAAATATATTTTGGTGTTTTTTAATTATAAAAAAAAATTTAAAAAAAAACATTCTAATAATTTTTAACATTTTTATATTCTCGGAATTATATTTGTATTAAAAAATAAATTCCAGGAAAAGGTCGTTTGAAAAAAATTTTTTTCATTTATATTCAAAAAATTACCAATTGTTTTATTTTGTAAATTTAAGAAATTCCAATGATGAATAACTGGTTTCTCTTAGATTTAAATAGTTATAAATAATAACAAATTCTAAAAAATTATTGTTTAGAAGTGCACAGGTGTACTATGCTGTATTTCATGACCATAAATTATTTTAAATTGCTAAATATAATATTTTTCTATTATTTTGATCTCAATTAATACAAAATAAGGAAAAATATATTGAATAAAAATTCTGCGTCTAAGGGTTAACAATTGTTTATAAGTGGGTAAAAAGTGGTATGCGATTACTGAACAATATTAGGCTTTAAATGTATATGGTTTATTTTCAGACTCAAATTACAACTTAAATTGTAGAAAAGGAAAACGAAAGATTTTTCACTTTAATAACCCTTTGAATAACAGCAGCACTAAATTATTTTTATTTTCGCAGGAAAACTTAGCTTAATTTGCTTGGTATTTTATTTAACATTTCACTTTTTTAAGTATTTTTAAAATGTATGACTGTTGAAATTATTCTAGAAACTGCGCTCTCTTAAATAGAAAGAGAGTAATTTCCCAAATGCAAATTAAAACAACAACGATTTACAAAGGCGTACTTATCATCTTCTCGTTGTTATTAGAAGGCTTTCAATGGTCTGTCGAAATAGTTAAAAATGATAGCAAAAAAACTAATAAATAAAAATATTAATTCATATGTGTCTCAATTTTTTAAATTTTTATTTATAGTTCTTCATCCGCCCTATGACTTAATAACTGAATTTAAAAATAAAAAATGACATCTACCGACTGAATTATAAAAAAGGTAAATCTAAATCCATATTTTAAATCATTTTATGTAATATAAGTGAAAATTAATCTATGCTAAACCAACGAAATGTTTTCATTTTTTTCTTCTTCTTACATGCAAGGAATATTAAAATTTTAATTGTAACTTCATCATTAAATTTGTTTGAAAATCATAATTTATTTTTTATAAAATAATTTGCTTAATCCAAATGTGCTAAAAAATTTAATTTTTCTCAATTTAAATTTGTAATTTTTCGCTACTTCGACGAACCTCTTTGATTAGATACCTATGGCCCCTCTCTTCACGCCACTGCTAAAAAGCGTTGAATAATAAAGCAAGTTCCCAATTTTATAAAAATTTATTGGTATGAGTTTCTCAAATTTAACATTCAAAACATTTACTAAAGAATTAATTATTCAATTTCGAATCAAGCGTCAAATGATTAATTCTTTTGAACCTCCTCTACAGTCGTTGTTTTTTAATAAATCGAAATTGAATAAATTTTTATCCATTATGTTAGAAAAAATCTATGGCTGCAATGTTCCAGAGATCATTCTGCAAATACAAGTTTTTTTCCTCCCCCCCCCCATTCAAATCTGAATCAATCAAGAGCCATAACCTTTCGTTATAAAAGCGCCAATCCCACATCGTAACTCCTAACTCGTCAACCATAAAACTGCCCCATACGAGAAAGAAAAATTCTCGGCCCTCTTCTTGATTAAATTCTAGAGAACTCGCCTGTTATCTTTTTTCGTTTTCTTTTTCATGCTACACCTAAAACGAAAAGAAAAACTTCCAAATCTTTTTTCTTTCGATAGTGGACCTGTTCGATATAAAAGAAACCGCATCCGCGTAATAGAGAGAGGGGTGTTCGGAATGTTGGTAAGGGAATTCCCAATTCCAACACTTCAAGGACAGTCGTAGATCAAGAATAGAACAGAACCATATCTACAGGTGAACCATGGAGAAGGGTTCAAGGTTGGTTGTTTGTTTCTTGGAGCCCACGTTTTAATCTTGTTTAACTGTTTTAAAAATATCGCCTACTGGGGTGAATTTTTTGGACTGACTCAGCAGCATATGAATTAGCAAAAAGTTGGTGGTATGGCATCATCGTCAACCCCAAGACTAGAGAAGGAGGGCGGGGTAAACCAATCTTTGGGACAAAGGGGAATGCTGTGTTAGTCACTTATGGATTGATGAAGTACCTAATGGGTATGGTTTGTTTCGATAGGGGTGAAGTCATCGTTCTCTCAAACATGACCATGCTTGTGTCATGCTTCGTTTTTTGTTAACTTAAAAGGCATTTTTGAGTGGGATAACTCATCGCTTCTTCTATGGTAAATATCATCCGTCCGGAAGGTGATGCATTGAAAATTCCGGATGCAGGAATGATTTGACTCAGAAAATTAATGGTCAGCAACGTAATTAAAATACCTAATTTACGTCATAGATTTTATTTGATTTAGAAATAACAGAGAAAATTGTAAATCTGAAACGTATATTAATAAGTTTGGTAACTAATAACTTTGGTGATCTGTCCGGAAGGTGGAGCATTGAAATTTCAGAATTCCGGATGCAGGAATGATTTGACTCAGAAAATTCATGGTCAGCAACGCAATCAAAATACCAAATTTAAACGTCATAGATTTTATTTGATTTAGAAATGGCAGAGAAAATTGTAAAGCTGAAAGGTATACTAATAAGTTTGGTAACTAATAATTTCTTATGTGGTTGATCTGTCCGGAAGATGGTGCATTAAAATTTGAAAGTTCAGAATTCCGGATGCAGGAATGATTTGACTCAGGAAATTAATGGTCAGCAACGTAATTAAAATACCTAATTTAAACGTCATAGATTTTATTTGATTTATAAATTAGAGGAAATCGTTGCGTTAAGAAGTATTTATAATAGGAATGACAATGCGTTAAGAAGTATTTATAATAGGAACGTTGCGTTAAGAAGTATTTATAATAGAAATAACTAATGCATTATGGTGGATCAGCTGCACAAAAGTTGATGCATTATACATTTGAAAATTTAAGTTTCAGGATGCAAGGATGATTTGATTCAAGACCATGAATGGTCAGCAACGTAACCAATTTAAAGGTCATAGATTTTATTTAATTCAGAAATGACATGGGAAATTGTTAAACTATAAGGTATTTTTAAGTGGGATAAATAATCACTTAACATGTGGTGAATCATCGGAATGGAAAATGATTCATTTAAATGTAAGCTTTCGGATACAAAAATGTTTGCTTTATTAAATCATTGGAGTGCAACATAATTAACATACCACCTTTAAAGGTCATAGATTTTATTTCATTCAAGAACAACATAGGAAATTTATATGCTAAAAGGCATTTTTTAGTGGGATTTTAGGTGAACTTATGAATTATTTGCTGCATATTTTAAGAATTGTACGCCTTTTCTCTGCAAAGCCTAATAATTTTTCAAATTCAAGTTAATCTTCTTTTTACAAATCTTAATTTTAACATATTACTCTATAATAAAATATGATTCATACAAGTGTTTAAATTAACTTTGAATTATAATCTTTAATTGAAAAACAAAATCACATACACTTAAAAACATCTTTCGTTGTACATCTGATTGAAACAAACAAACAAACTCGAAATAAAATTGTTTTCATTAATTAATTCTTTTTTAGGAAGTTTCTAGGGTGGGTAAGCTGATCAGAGTCCTCAAGAAACTATAAGACCGGTAGTAAAATTTCAACACGAATATTTGAAAAGTACCTGTTTTACCGCGACCAGTTTTTTGAGGACACTGCTCGCCTTATTCTAGGTACTAGAGTCTTAGGATATATGTACTTCTTAATATTTATTTTACTATCACTTGTCGATTTCTATTTTTTCATGAACGAATTCGATCTATTAATCTTAGTCAACAATCATTTGTAGAATTCTCTGACATTTTCTGTTTTGTTTTGGTGTGTCATATAGTACCAGTCGTAATATCGGTAATAAAAATGTTTTATTATATTTTTTACAATTGGTTTAGAAGTTGTTATATGAATCACATGGATGATTATGTTCATTTTAGAACCGATTAAAAGCAGCTGGTTTCTTAGTGTGCTAAAGAATTTACTAATAAAGGCTCGAGCTTTATTTTATTTTATTTTCATATTTATTGCCCTCTCAATTTTGAATCATTAAACTTGTGATTTTAAAAAAAATATGCTTAGCTGGCGAAATAAGAACTAATATTTAGCTTATGTGTTTTGGAATCGTACTTCCATAATTTATGTATTAAGATTTACTTTGAAATTATTTTCCCTAAGCGTTTAATTAATTGATTCTTGTATTGTAATTAATTTTGAGTGGGTATGTTATTTACGAAACAACACACAATTTGTCATATTATAGCAATTATTTTTTTATTCCTAAAAGCTCATTTTATTAAAATGTAATAGTAAGCAGTAACTAAAATTGAGATAATTTATGCTATTTTATAACAATGAATTAATAAATAACAAACATTGTAAAATGATACTAATCATAAACGACGCGCATACTATTTTTTATTTATTTTAGTGAGCTAATATGTAGGTTTTTGTTTAAGAATTATGTAAATACACGTTTTTATATATTTTTAAAAATCAAGTGTAAAAAACATTAATAACGTATTTCTTAAAGAAAATTTTGACCCTTTTCATACATTGTAGTCCCCTGCTTTCCGAACAAAAAGTAATTGGAAAAAAAACCAACGTATTAAAATGTTATTTCAGATTTTCAATCTCATTTTCGAAAAACGCAGAAATTAAAATTTAAAAATTAATGAAAGCGAACAACAATATGACATAATCTGACGCCTGC